TAATCCACTAACCCGGACAACAAATCACACATAAAAAGGTCAATTAAAAACAATATTTACGTACAGAGAGTAACCGTGTTCCAGGAGAAAAAAAAAATCCAGAATTAATTGCAAAAACTTTATTGTGATAAGCAACTCCTCATTATTAAAGAATTAAAAAAATATATTTTTTCAGTCAGCTTCTTATTATGAGGAACAGCCTATTCCATGAACATTTTGTATTTGTCTTGTTGACCTTTCCTTACTCGAGAAACATGATGTTGGAACAGCATTTGAATCAAGCGTAATGACAGGTGTGGGGCTGTTTGCTTGTGTCACTGTTACTACTTGTAGTGTTTTGCGATAGAAAAACATTTAAGTGAAGGGTTGCCAACTGCAAGTTAGATGAATTGATATCTGTCTGTCATTGATTACTTGATGTCCCATCTTTAACTGTAAAGGTTAAATATGGATACAGAAGGATTATGTTCCTATTCAGTTTGAGACAATAAGATGGTTGCTATGCAATATATTATATAAGGCAGTAACGATGGCATGTATTTTGAGTTACAATGAGAAGGTATAATCATAATGTACTCCTCATAATAAATTACTAGACTTATAGATAACATAAAGAAAAGCTAGCACATTCATTCACAGTGATCTTGATGACAGTGTGTGACTTCTTAAAATGTATATGTATATCATGATAAATGTATTATTTGCTGTGTTGAAGTTGCAGTTGTTTATAAACATTATCTGTTCATAGTGACATAAATAATGTGCCATAGAACTACCAGTCCCATTCACCAAAGTATAGCTTGCATCCCTAACTGAATACCACAGCGTGTGAGTATGACAGCTTTTCCGATTTCTGGCAGAATGATTAAACTAACCATGATGGACCATCATAATGTGTTGCTTACTTGTTTTCTTGTTTGAAAGTGTTTCGTCAAAGAAGAGAGAAGGGATTCTTCTCTGTTCCACCACCCAGCATTAACATCCTACTGTGGATAAAAACCAGTTGATCACCAGTATCAGCCTCCCCCCTGCTGGATATGACAAGTAATACATCAGCATCTGCATTAGAAACATATTTTCCCAAAAGAAGGACCATAAACAATTGAAACAAATAAAATAAATTATATTATGTGTCAGTTTACAAAGAGTTCATTGACTTTTTGTCAGTGAACCAGTCTTGATGAGCAATGACACCAATAAAACCTTCTAAGACTAAAAAAAAAGTAAAAAAACTATTACATGCTTTGTTTGTTGTTCATCTGTCTGTTATGTTTATCTCCTCATAAGAACTGACAATACAAATGTATAGACACATCTGTCCATACATTTACATGTCTCAGCACATTTTAGGTGATCACCAGAAGGCAGATTACCATCAATATAAACTAGCAGAAATCTATTTCCCCCCTCCACTCAAAAATGTGCTTTTCTTCTTGCTCCCACAGTTGGATGTTTGAGCTTCACTGTGCACAATGATGTATGTGCAGAGTTTGACACTGGGAGGATGTTTTCACAT